GGGCAGTTTTACAATTTAGCCCAGGCTGGCCCTGAACTCACAATCCTCCTGCGTCAGCTTCCTGATTGCTAGGATTAAAGGTGTGTCTCACCATGCCTAAGCTTTCTTTCATCTTTAAGTCATTTTACTAGGTATGAAGTCTGTACTTCTTGATAATTAGTGATTTTGATAATTTTTCACATATCTATTGGACATCTGTATGTTTTCTTTTAAGCATGTTTATTTGGATCCTATGTCCCTTTTTTTTTTTTTTTGGTGTGGGGTTGGGGTTTGAGCTCAGGGCTTCACAATTTGCAAAGCAGGTGCTCTACTGCTTGAGCAATGCCATCAGTGTGTTTTGCTCTAGTTATCTTGGAGAGGGGTTTTGCAAACTGTTTTACCAGGCTGGCCTCAAACCATGATCCTCCTGATCTCAGCTTCCCAAGTAGCTAGGATTTCAGGCATGAGCCATGGGTGCCAAGCCCTTTGCCTGTTTTCTAAATGAAGTTGTTTCTTTTCTTAGGATAATATTTCTCCCACTCTGGAGGTGGCCCTTCACCCTGGTGGCTGTCTCCTTGGCTGGGCAGAGCTTTTTTAGTTTGGTGGGATCCCATTTGTTTACTTTTGTTTTGTTATCCTTTCAGACCTACATTTAAAAATCATTGCCCACATCAGTGTTTTGGAGTTTTACAGATTCTGATCATACATCTAAATGTGTAATCCATTTTGAGTTGAGTTTTAAATACGGTTTTAAATAGGGTTACTCTTATTTTATGGTTATTGTTTTCCATAATCCTTTTTTGAAGTTCTGAGGTTTGAACTCAAGAGTCTTGCGCTTGCTAGGCAGGCAACCTTTTTGCTTTAGGTATTTTGTGAACTGGGTGTCACTTTTAGCCTGGACTGGCATGTGATTCTCCTATTTACACTTCCCACATAGCAGGGATGACACTTGTGCCACCACACCCTAGTTTTATATGTTGAGAAAGGGTCTCATGAACTTTTTGCCCAGGTTGGCCTCAAACTGCAATCCTCCTGATCTCTGCCTTCCTAGTAGCTAGTATTATAGGTATGAGCCACCATACCCAGTCTGTTTTGTTTTTATTTTGAGAATGTGGTCTCACTGGTCTTGAATTTCTGGGCCCTGTCTAGTCTCCAATTCCTGGGCTCAAGTGATCCTCCTGCCTTAGCCTCCCTAATAGCTGGGACAACAGATGCACGAGACCATGAATGGCTTATATAGTCTTTTCTTAATAAAGCAGTTATTTTTCAAAAAGATTACGTTCTAGAATAGTTTTAGATTTACAGAAAATTTGAGAAAAATAGAGTTCCCATATACTCACACCCAATTTCCCCTATTATTAACCTCTTATGTTAGTATGGCACATTTGTTTCAATTAATAAACCAATATTGATACATTATTACTAAAGTCCATATTTTATTCATATTACCAAATATATTTTTCTGTTCTAGAATTTTATATTAAATGTAGTTGTTCTTCAGATGTTCCTTGCTTCTCATGACTGGGGCAGCTGTGAGGAGTACTGGTCAGGTATTATGTAGGATGTTCCCCTACTGTTTTTCTCATTAGTCTGGTCTATGGGTTTTAGGGAGAAAGGCTACAGAAGTGCCATTTTTATCACATACACTGATATGTACTGTGACATGACTTATGGCTGCTGATGCTGGCCGTGATCACCAAGCTGCAGGAGTATTTTGTTAGGTCCTCTGCTGTGAAGTTGCTCTCCCTTGTTCCTTTAGGAGTGGACTGTTATGCTCCCTCCTTGAGGGGTGAGTGTCTACTCAATTACTCAGGAATTTTCTGCACAGAAAGTTTGTCTCTTCTCCCCCTTCAATCATTTATTTCTATCAGTACATGAAACTTGTTTTAAAAAATTCTTCTCTCTCATGTTTCCTGAATTAGTTTTGTTTTTTTCTGGATCAGTTTCTCTGTGTGCATATGTGTGTATATTAATCTTGATTTTTTTCTTTTATGATTGAGTCTGATTTTCCATTCATATTTAAGAAGGACAAGGTAGTTGATAGAATTGTCTTCTGCTGAAACATACGTAGGCCTGTTTCTCTTTTTTGATAGGATTGGGGTTTGAACTCAAGACTTCACACTTGCAAAGCACGAACTCTACCACTTGAGTCACTCTGCCAGCCCCAAATCAATAGCTTTTTCTTTTTCTTTTTTTGGCGGTACTGCATCTGGGCCTTACTCATACTTGGTAGGCAGGTGCTTTACCACTTTAGCTACTCTACCATCCTATTTTTCAACTGTTGTCTTTCCTGAGTGCAAGGTCTGCTGGGAGTTCTTAGTATTTAGGTTGAGTGTGCTGACTGGCAATCATTGTCTTAGGGTAAAGCAGTGGGACTCCTACTGTTTTAGGAGAAAGAGAGCTTCAATCTGTGGTTGTCACATTAGAAACTTTACTGTGATTCATTACTGGTTTTGTTAGTTTGTTTACACTTATGAGTAAATGTCCACTTCACTTTATATTTAGGAACCAGGAAAGGAACCAACCAGTGATTGTTCTGTATTAACAACCTTTGGTGAATCTGATTTCCCATACTTCTTTTGATTTTTTTTTTAGACAGCGGTTTCCTATGTAGCCCAGGCTGGCTTCAAACTAACGATCCTCTGCCCCAGCCTCCTCTGTGCTGAGATTACAGGCATGAAATGCTATTCCCAACTTCCTGTCTTCAAGAAATATGTTGAAATCTCTTGCACACTGATTTTCTTTATCATTCTTCTCTATTACTGCATTTACTTTTGTAGGTTTATTCCTTTTTAATTTCTCTAATTTAACTTCAGAGGGGTTTGCAAAAGAAAGGGAAGAAAACAGGTCTATTCAATTTGTCACCTTTTATCAGAAGTCTCCACAAATTCAATTCATAAGTAAAAGTAAGATTCTTCTTTAGATTAAGGAAAGTGTAAATATCTATTAACTTATTATTATAGTTCTGTTGTTGTCTGCCTATAATTCTCTTAATATAGACTTAATTTGTATTTCTGCCAAAGCTTCTATTAAAGCTCTGATAAAACTGAGAATTACATCAGTCAGGGTAGGATCCCCACAGGAAAAAGAATTCACCATGAAACTTTCATGAAGAACTACACATGGAGTTGTAGGCAGGGTTAAGCGAGCAAACAAGTAGGAATGATGAAGCATCCAAAACTTGGCAAGAAGAGGATACTATTATAATCCATAGGGTCAAAGGAAGAAGGTTAGGAACATAATTATGGGAGCCCATAGGAACTGGAATCATAGAGAAGGGACTGGATAGCAGAAGTTGTATTCACTTACTTACTGTGCTGAAGCAGAGGGGCAGAAATGGCAACTTCTATCTCTTCTGCCTTCCTACCTGCTGGCAGTATTTCTCATAGCCCAATCAAAGCTAGTTAGAAAGACAGCCCAAATGAGGCAGTATGCAGGGGTCCAAGCAGACTCAAGAATAGATCCAGAGGTGAGGATGGGTAGCAGATAGAGAACTGGCCCTAATTTGTTTATTAGCAATGTAATTAAAGTACTATCTGAGATTTCATAAAACATAAACAGAAATATATAATGTTGGATAGAATTGTGTATAATGATGCTGATTAAATGCAAAAACTTATTCAGAATTCTCATGAATATATTTTTGAGGGGAACAAAACCATGTGACAGATGAATCTAAGGATAATCAAGGCCGTCATGAAAATTAAGATAAACTCAAAGGCCCTGCACATAAAATAAAATCAGAGCCAAACTTTGTTTTAAATAATGGAAAGCTGTTTCAGGATGTAAAAATCTATGCCATATAATGTTAGAAATTAGGCTAGTGGTTCCCTAGGTGGCAATAACCACTTTGAAGCTTATGGGGTTTGGGAGAGATACTGGTAGTGTTTGTTTGTGTGCTAGTTACACAGATATGCCCACACTGTGAAAATTAATAGACTAGTCTACTTGTGATGTGAATGTTTTATTTGAATATATTACAATTAAAAGAAAGACAGCAGCCATGAATAAAATTTGAAAAAAAAAAAAACCAACCAAAACTCTACTATATCAATGTATTTCTATGCCGTTCTTTGGGTTCCATCAGTAAGTATTTATTGGAGCATCTAAAGCGATGATGATTCAACAGAAATGAAAGGCAAATCTTGACTTAAAAGAATTTGTGACCTGCTTAGGAAAATGTTTAGACATGAAGAACACTCACAGCACTATCTCAAGGCCACAACAAATACTACAGTACAAACAGATCTAGTACTGATATGTACCTGAGACCTAGACAGAAATACTCCAAAAGTAGGCTCTTTCTGTTGGAGATTTCTTCTCTTGCTCTCTCTCTCTTTTTTTTTTTGGCAGTACTTAAGTTTGACCTTAGGGCCTCACACTTCCTATGCAGGCGCTCTGCAACTTGAGCCATTCTGCTACCCCTTGTTTGTGTTGGATATTTTTGAGATAGGGTATCTTGAACTATTTGCCCAGATTGGCTTCAAATCCTGATCCTCCTGATCCCAGCCTGCTGAGTATGGCACAGAAGCAGCAAAGAACCTTTGGATCTGAAAGGATCTTCTGGCCAGGGATGACTAATGTCTCAGAGGTGACCCCTACCATAATGCCTTGGTACCACGGAAAACCTTACAATTGGAGCGTAGCTCCAGGATGAGGGCATCTCAGGAGGTTAAAAATTTCCTCCATCCTGGCGTATGAGGATTAAAGTAAAAAATTCAAATGGGTAACAGAAAATAACTTATATAGACAGACAAACTTATACATACAAAAATTTATGAGTAACCAACACACAGAATTTAAAGTTTCATAAATAGAACAAGAAAAATAAGAAATATACTGGTGTCTCATTTATCTGGTTCCATTGGTGAAATATGGTCCATAGAAGTGAGTTTTTTGGCTAAGTAAATAATATGCCAATAATATAAATTACTAATCTCGCTGAAATCTGATAAGAGGACTGGTGACTACTGTTCTCATCCTAAATTACTTCCAGACTAGAGAGCTTTTAAGGCTTTGTCTTTTTTTTTTTTTTTTAAGTACTTATTGTTCTCTCCTCACTACTTTTACAGTCTGGCAGCTGTTATCTTTGCAGCTCTCAGCATGTTTGATTTTGTTTTCCTTTCTCCCTTCTTCCTATTTTAATTTTCTGTTTCATATAAATCTTGAGTTGAAAAATCAGAAAACCAACCTCACCATTTTAGAACTGTGCTTAAATCAAACAGTCAAGATGCCCTGAGTAAAGACTCCAGAATTCACAACAGTAGTTCTTGCTTCCTACCATATTCTTAACTTTGTTTGCTATCAGCATTTTCCAAGTTATCTTCTTGAATTCTAAAGTTTCAGAAGATGCTTCAGTAATCCTGGTGGGTAGACAAGGGGGAGGCTGAATGGCCCCTCTCCTCTGCTGCAATGGGAGTAGCTCTGGTTTATCTATTTTATACTATGGGTTCTATTTAGATTTCATTTAACAAAAGGATTTTACTGCTTAAACAAGTTTGACAGCCACTTTCTAGAATCTGACCTCTAGATTTGTGTAGTTCAAATGACATACATTATAGTTGCAAATTAGAAAAAAAAATTCTGAAACTCCAAAACTAGAATTTGTTTTCAAAAGCAAATAAAAATTACCTGAAGTAAAGGGATGAAATCCTCTTGTTCTAGAGAGCTGCAGCTGGGCTTTGCCAGAAGACAGATGAACTTAGAGGCATCATCATGATGGTTATTCAACAACCTACAGAAGAAACACTTGTTAAGAAGATCTGCCAAGCTGAACAAAGAACAACTACAACATCAGTAGTGGTACCTTAAGTCTGACTGGAAGCCCATTAAGATTAATAATCGAGTGTGTTTTCTCTCTCTCATTTTATTTGATTTTTTTATTTACTTATTTCTTTGCAATGCAGGCAAAATTCAGGGTCTTGTGCATGCTAGGCAAGCACTCTATCACTGAGCTATGCACCTGCCCAAGTGCTTTCTTTTCAATGACTTCCATACTTTTGATTTTGTCAAAGGGACATCTCACTAAAAAGCTCTATAAGATGGCATCTTATTCTTATAGAATGCTTCTGAAGCTGAGATCACAGAGTCAATGGAACTAACTCAGGTAAAACGTGTTACTAAAATATACTGGGGGAGAAATATCCATTTGGTTAGTATAGGACATCCAGAACCAGAGCTTCAGAGAGAGCTCCCAGCCAGAAGGAAATACCTAAGATGTACTTCATGTACCACATGAAGTTCTGTTTGTCCAGGTTGATAGATACATGGTGCCAACCTAATGGGGCTTTTGAAATTAAGATTTTGAAGGAACAGACTTTAAAACCTGAGTGCTGTATGTATTAAGTCTTCTAAATCCCCAGAATTCCTTACTTTTAACTATATGCTGGACACTTCCATTTGAAAACTATACTCTGATAGCAAAGTCAAATTACTGAAGGCCAAATTTAAGGTCTTACTGTCAAAGTCAGTCCTTTCCCTGGATGAAGTCATTTAAAGTACAGTCCAGTGTTTAGTTACCAATAAAATTATACTACTGTGGAACAGTCATAATAGAAGTAATGAGCACTAGGGTGTCATGGAAGGACACAGGAGGCCATTAAGACTCCCTGGAAGGTGAAGTAGGAAAGAAGGGCATTGAGGTAATAAGGAGGCAGTCCCCACAAATGCCTGGTGAGAGGCATGGAACACTTGGCAACAATAAGTGCAGACATGATAAGAAAAAGGACATGTGTAGGTAGGATCAAATACTTGAGGCTTCTTTTATGTCGGGTCAGGATGCCTAGACTTTAACTTACTCCATAGGAGAATTTACCTTGGCAGAGAACATGATTAGATGAGATTTTCAGAAACATCAGGAAAGAAACAATAAGAGCTTAAGTATGTACACTGGCAGTGGGAGACAGACAGGGACAGGTTTGGTAGAAATGAAAGGACATGACACTTGATAGGAGTAGGATAAGAGGAAAGGGAAGTCTATGACAACTCCCAAGTTCCTAGCTAGAACCATCAGGTGTTATGAATACAACTGGGAACATTGAATTCCTGAGGAACTTTTCCTTTCCTCAAAATGTTCCAGATGATTGTTTCTTCCTTTATATTTCTACTATACTATCAAGTTCAGGGTCTTAAATTCATGCTAAGAATGTATAAGGGAAGAGAGTTCTAACAAGCTTCAGTGCTCACCCAACTTTGTATAACAGACAACTTATCACTCTAAAACAAACTTTGATTGTGTAATTTCCTAATTCAAAAAATGTTCAATAACTGTCCACCACTTATATGCACAAGTCTAAAGGCCTGTTTAAGACTCTCCCCTTAGGTTGGAGCCTGCCTACCTACCTATCTTACTATTTTGATAAATGAAACTTCTACTCCAGGCAGCTGGCCTGAGTTATATGCAGTGTTGCCTCCTGTTGTTCTTACACTGCCCTGTTCTTCTAGGGAGCCCTTCCCTAACTTTGTCTTAATGCTGCTTATTCTTTAAGACCTAGCTAATAATCCACCTCTTTCAAAAGCCTTCCTTGACAACTAAATTATGTTCTGAACTTTGTATAATTTATATATACCACTGTACTGTTGGCTTTATTTCTTTGGCATCCAAAAGGCACGCAAAATTCAGCTTTTTATTTGAGAAGACTCTCAAAATATGTTAGTAATCTAACAGATGCATACTAACTGGCTTTGTGATTTTGGGGGCTATAGTAGGACTTTATATTTTACTCTACTTATCATTACTGAACATGTTCAAGGCCCCTGATTTTAAAAAAGACACATGTTCCAGAAAAAGATAATTGCAGCAGGTGCAAATGAAAACTATTCTTAGGATTAGAAAGTTGCTGGGATGATAACAACAAAAAGTGGTGAGGTCTTTGAAAAGGAGGTTTTTTTTTTAAAGATACCGTTAAACACAGCAGGAATATAATACATGAGAGATACTCTAAGACAAAAGTCAAATAGGGGATGGCTTCTGGCTATAAAAAACATGAAACAGAAAAGGTGAGTTACAGGACAGGATAAGAAAAGAGTAACGGGGGGGTGAATTTGATCAAAGTGCATTATATGCATGTATGGAAATGACACAATGAAACCCTTATGCTAATGAAAAATATATTAAAAAAAAGAAAAAGAAAATTGTAATTTTCTGCCAGTGCTCTTGACAGATAAAACTCTGTATGGCAGGAGAAAATAAGTCATAAAAGAACAAAAGTAAGCATAGGTATTCTACACTGACCATATGCTGTTAAGGCAAAATAGTGTTTTGTTAATGGACAAATGACACAATGATATGAAAAAGGTAAAAGAAAGTAAAACATAGTAAAGCTGGAGTAGTATTACTGACTTGATTTGAGAGGATTTCTGCCCCTAAACTGGTACTCCAGAAGCTCACACAAAAAAGCTATGCAGCACTGTCTTCCCCCTAAAAATGACTATAAGAAAAAGAGACTTCATAGTATAGACATGAAATAGGAAAGGGCACAGGGACAGGAGGGGAACAGAGCAGCAGGGGAGAAGGCGTTTAAGGTGCTCACTCAAAACCACTTGGAGGGGAGAGACTGAATCCTCCAATCCATGAACAGTCTGACAGGAAGGAAATTATTTCCCTTTATACTTATGACTTTTGTATTTGACTCTATTTTTTTTGATTCTATATAGAGCTTATTGTTGGAGCAAGCAAGCATGCATATGTATATGCCAAAATATTTTAATTCTGCCAGTTGTTTTGTGCTTGGACATTTTAATATACTATACTTGGATTCAAGCTACTTTATGCAAAGGGTGCAATTTATAAAAAAATTTTAAAACTTCACACATCTTTTTCTAGGTCAGCATGGTAACTCAAACCACCATACTTAGCTGCTTATTCTCCCAAAATAGTCATACTTGGGTCTCCTTTTAAGAGCTCAAAGAGGAGTTCCCACTAGAGGGCACCCAAACCATTTTAGTAACTGACCATATTGCTTTAATACAGATGTATTTAATACACGTATACTCTCTATCCAAGTACTAATGAGACCTGACACTACTTAGCTTCTGAGATCAGATGAGATCAGGTGATTCAGGATAATGTAGCTGTAGACGTACACACATATATTCTTTAGATTTTTTTTTGGTGGGACTGGGGTTTGAACTCAGGGCTTTGTGCTCACAAAGCAAGCACTCTACTGCTTGAGCCACACCTCCAGTCCATTTTGCTCTGGTTATTTTGCAGATGGGGACTCACGAATTATTTGCCCTGGCTTGGCTTTGAACCACAATCCTCCTGATCTCAGCCTCCCAAGTAGCTAGGATTACAGGTGTGAGCCACTGGCTTTTAATGAATTTTTTTAATGTAAAAAAAGACAGACACAGTTACTCATGCTATATAACTTTGTAAGCAGACTTGTGTTTCATGTCTTTTCCTCCCTTTGTGAAAGTTGCTTTTCCCTAGAGATAAGGTGATTCATCACTATAAAGAAATACAGCTGATGTGGTGGCCGCGGCTGCTGTGCTGCTCGATCCCTCAATATAAATGTTAGTCCTAGCTCAGTGACACAGTCTTAACCAAAACACGGCTGTGACTCTCTTTAAAATTTAGCACTTAATCACAGGTAAATTAAGTTGGATACCAGTTTTCCTTTGCTATAATCAGCCTCAGGTTCACATACTGTCTTAAAATATTCAAAGTGCAATGTAAGTAGTTAGTTATATTTCTTGTCTCTGGCCCTAATGCATCTTATGATAAACTATTTCCTATTTTTTCAATCTTCCAGCTTGTTCACAGCTTTCTCATAAACACTTATTACTCACTTCTTGCTGTTTTCCCAGATTTCTAGATGGTTTTCTGCAAATAATGCTGAGCTCAGTGGATGAAGACACTTCTAACAAGAGCTATGCCATCTCCCTATTCTTTTTCACACTCTAGCTGAGGCCTCTTCAGAGCCTGCCATCTACTAGGGTGAAAGAAGATAGCTGAATGGAAGCCAGAACTTGTATAAATTTAAATCTTTAAATTCTGATACTGATATATTCAGTTTTTAAAAAATATCACACCACAGAGCTGAAATCCTGGCTCTGCTGGTAGAGCAAGGAGAAAGAGACCAAGTTGACTTCTTTACTATTCAGGCACTAGGCTCCATTTTCTTCCCTCCTGTTCTAGGCTGCCAGAAATACCAAAGAATTCTCTGAAGGGCAGATGCCAATTCCACTATTTAGTGGGTTTTAAAATTTTATTTATTTATTATTATTATTTTTGCTATTTCTAGCTTCAAAGGAATTCCCTTCCTTTTACAGCTGCTTACCAAACTTTTTCTTAAGCAGACATTTCTTATGTTTTATGAGACTGTTTCTATTTGCTATAGGAGAGGTGTCATCCAAATGGTGTGAGGAATTATTCTCCTAAGGCTCTTTTATTCTTTGGTATTTGGACAACTCAAAAGTACTCATGGACAAAATTACTAAAATCCATCTGGGAAATATGAAGTATTTATAGCTTCTAGCTAGAGTATTGTTCTTTAAAGAAATACACTAACTGGTAGAGTCTTATATACCCTGAGCACTATAGTTCTAATGTAATGAATGAAGAATTTGGTTAAATCAACTTGCTGCTACATTTGTAAATTTCAGAATGCATTTATTAGTCACCTATTATGTTCTCAAGCATTACACAAGGGCCTTTAGGTGGCACAAAGGTATTAAAAGAAATCTGTAAGGTGAATTCTGTAGACGTTATACACTGATTTTAAATAAGTGACTAGCATTTCCAAATAGTTTACTAGGAGGAAGGGTATGTAGCCCAGAAAATGTGAGAACATGTATAAAGAGGGTTGATCAGTTACAAGGCAGAGGGAACAAACTTTGATAGCCTCTTAAAACATACAAATATATTAAGAAGTAACATCTAATAGCATCCAAAGAAGAAAGAAGGATTGAAGAAGAGAATAAAGAGGAAAGTTGTGTTTGAATTCAAGAAAATTTATCGGGATGTTAAAATTCAAGAATATCTTGATAAATACACTAGACCTTTGTTCCTTATCTGGAATTCTCAAAAGGTAATGATTAAAATCTATTAGAATTTAGTCATTTTGATAAATCTAAGTTGGGTCACATGAGACTGGAACCGCATTTGTCATGTGACACATGAGGCTTGAGCTCCTTAAAGAAGAATCTTTACTTACTTTTATGTCACCACTACTGGATTCAAATCCCAAGTCCTCAATTTAACAAGAAAATGTTAAGAAACTATCAAAAGTTACTAAAGAAGTATATCTGCAGATCTGCTTTTCTGTTTAAAGACATGTAAAATTAAAGCTTTGGACAAAGAACTTGTGGGTATAAATGGTTATGAATCACAGAATTTTCCTGAAATAAAGAGTAAAATGAATAAATGAATAAAATAAGTGAACTTTATAAGGCATGTCATGAAGACCACACAATTCTTTGCTGGCCCCAGAGTATGGTCACATACTTACTTTCTCCACACTGCAATGAATGACTGTGCTGACACAAATCCTGTTTTTTCCCCCCCTGCAGCCCTGAACATGGGGGATTTCCAATAAAGAGGACAGCCACAGACCTGCAAATAAAAACAATGCAGAATAAGTTAAGAGGCAGTGAAGAAATGACATGGCCAAAGAAAAAGTCCTTCTGTTTTTTACCCTTCATGCCACAGTGCACAAAAGGGCCACTAAGGCTGCACAACAGGTCACAAGCAAATATATAAACTGGGGTAGATTCATAGAGAGACACATGGGAATTAAAATAAGGGTGTTACATGTTTAGTGAAGAAAATGGAAATCCATTCACCTTTCTTCCAAGTTTATTTGTAGTGATTTCCCCCAATTCTGACAGTAAAGTAACCAGCCTCCCTTCCTACCACTCTTACATGATATATTTTCTGTCTTCTATAAAGAAAAAGAAATGACTGAATATCATCATTGTATATGTCTTTCATTTCTTGAGCAGAAAAATACAGTTACCTTTATTATTGTGTCATTTGGTGTTAAAACATTCCACTATCCTTCTCACTCCTATGACTGTTATCAGGTTCAAGTAGAACCAGAAAATCCTAAGCTCTTCAAGAAAACAGCTATCAAATGTATTCAAATGGTTATAAATAAGCAAAAAAGCTAAAATCAAAATGCTATCATTTATTTACATTAGAAGCTACTACAAATAACTACATAGTATAAAAGCCCTAGTAAGAACTGAGAATGAATATAAAAGAACTTCTGTAATCTAAAAGGTACTGATTTTTTTCTCATTAATAGGAGGCTCTTCTTTTTAATTAAAAAATTATCCTTTTACTCACATAAGAGTTCTTACTAAGTTTACCTGCTTTTTTCCCTAAAGAGAAAGTTACTGTCTATAATTAACAATACCTAAATATCAGTAGAGAAATGGTTTCTGAATTGCCCTAATTTTGAACATACACAGAAAACCTATTCCAAATTCAGAACTTTCAAAGAAAGAGTCACATCTGTTAAAAGATAAAAATATTCTCCTTGTTCCTGTTAAATATAATATGGTGATGCATCATCATTCTACAGAGGGAAGATTCTCCTTTGGAGGTGGACTATATGTGTAGCTATCTACCTTAGGTTTAGGTGAAATTGTTCCTGGTGTAGGGGTTCCCCACAGGAGGAGGAAGAGTATGTAGTCTGACACCAGTTATCCTGAGAGACACCCAAGGCTGCTGCTGGTTCAAGAGAATATGGAAAGCCAGATTTAAGCCAAGGATGGTACAGATAGGGCAGAAATCATAGCCCTTGTGAGAGCCATTAAAGCTTGTTCTACAAGCAGAGTAGAATTTAGTATTTCTCAAGTCCAGAGTCTGAATACCTCCTTTGAAGTCAAGAATGAGAGAGGGGCATTGCTTAGTTACCATGTGATTTTTTGTTTACTCTATAAATTATGATAGCTAAGGTACAAAGCTCACAATTAAGATACTTAAAGTGTGCAAACTGTCAAATCCACCTCCCCAATCTGTCCTTCCCTTTATGTGTTGCCAAGGTGATATGCTTGGATAGCCTTACTGATAAGCTATTAGCAACTGCTGGGAAAGATGAAGGAATTAGTCTAAATTATAGAGGTGGAGGACCCACAAATAGAAAGTACAGGAGAGATAGTCAAATAAAAGCTGGATTAAATGAAAATTGGCTAACAAACACAGTGAGATCAATTTTTAAAGTAAATGATTTTAAGAATAAAGAGGCAGGGCTAGGGGTGTGACTCAAGTAGTAGAATGCTTGCCTAACAAGCACAAGGCCCTGAGTTCAAACCCCAGCACCATCAGGGAAAGGGAGAGAGAGGGAGACAGAGGGGAAAAAGAAGGAGAGAGAGGGAGAAGGAGAGAGACAGAGAGAGAGAGGGAGAGAGAGAGAGAGAGGGAAAGAGAGAGAGAAAGAAAAGAGGTAAAATCTAATAAAACTAGCAGATATGGTGATCAAAACCAAAACAACACAAAGCCCGACATGGTGGCTCATGTCTGTAATCCCAGCAATTGGGAGGTTGAGGAGGAGGATCATGAGATTGAGGCCAGCCTGGACTATAAATCAAGACCCTGTCTCAAAACAAACAAACAAACTGAAACAAGAGCAAAACAAAAACTCAAAACAATACAAATCAACATAATTGTGTTAACTTTCTCTTTTTTGAGACAAGGGTCTCATTATATAGTCCAGGCTGGCCTTGAATTCATGATTCTCCTGCCTCAGTCTCCTCAGTGCTAAGATTACAAGGCATGTACTACAATGCCTAGCTAATGGTAACTTTTGAGGTCATTATACATATATCTTTGTTTTATATGCAATGCTAGTTTTAACTTTTTAAAGGCACTGACAGTTTACCTTACTACCTAAGCTGGCAATTAGGGTCTAAGAGCAATGACCACAAGGCCTGGCTTGAAGAAAGGAATTTAGGGCTATAATTAAGTACAATTCAGGTAAGTTAATCAGTCATCTATATGTAAAATGGCTATTGTGCCACAACAGTCATTAAATAAATGACTGTTACTTGGTTACAGAAAACAGTATTCTATTTTTAAACTTCTACATGTTATTAGCTTGAACAATGGCGATTTCTCCTGATGCTGCACATGGAATGATCCTCACTGCACATCATGGGCAAAGTCTTTCCTCTTGGCTCCCCAGTACCCAGAGGGAAACTCACCCCTCAACCCTTTGACTACACTCATTCCTATGCCTACCTTGATCTGCTTTCTCTCACTTAAAGTCTGTGGGGTACTACTGGGCCACTGAGTCTGGAGTAATGTGGAGCTACTATACTACAGGGTGGGAAGACCAGACCAATAGCTTGGAGACTCAGAGAAAACAGTACATAAAAAAATGCTCTTAGCATTGGTCTCGCAGACATTTTCCAGTTGCTACCTACCCCACCTGCTGATAAGATGCCTGAACTTGCCCCAGAACCTAGTCATTTCTTTTTTTGGGTAGCATCTATCTGTAAGGGCTCAATAAACCAGATTCCCCTAGTCTCCAGAATTTTGGTTTAACATGTTACCTCCAAATGCAGATTTCACTCATCCTTGCTAAATTTTGTATCTTATAGTTAGATCCATAGTCCTTAGACAATTCAGAGAATTTACCACCTTAGTTCTGTTACCTAATACAATAGTCATCCCAGAGAATTGGGTAAGAAACCTGAATGCCCTAAAAAAAGAATTTGTAACTTATCTGGAGTACTATTCATTGGAAGGTGACTAATATTAGTGTATGTTTTGGAGATAATTTACACAGAGGCAGCACTGTGTCAGAAGTTAGAGGACTTGTCTTCTGACATGAACTAGTTCTGTGACTTCAGATAAGGACTTGTAAGACTGCAGTTTCCTCGTAAGTAAAACAGTAGAAACAGGTAAGTTCTTATTTCTGGAATAAAAAAGCATTTTTCCTAGAAACATCTGAAGATCAACAAGCAAGTTCTAAGATTGGGAGGGGTGAAGAAAGAGAACAGAGAAAGCTCACCATGCTGGCATATGTCTGGAATTGGGAGGCTGAGACAGGAGGATTGAGAGTTCAAGGCTGGTCTGGGCTACACAGTGAGATCTTGCCTCCAAAAAGAAAGTGAGAGAGGGGTGTGGGGGGAAGAGAATGAAGTCTTCTTCAGTTCCTTTAAGATCACTCTAGTTACAAACCATTTAACAGCAACACAGAGGGAGGGGAAGGGCAGGGCATGGAATGCTCAAACAGACAAGTTGGAATCTAGGCCTTCAAGTAAAGGTTGTGGAGGTTGGTAGGCATGGAAACCCATCTGGGAGGGGAGAGTTAAGAAAGCCCAAATATACAGGTATGCCTGTGAGAGGACAAGTGGATCAGTTCATGCAGCAAATGATATTAAGGCAAAGGATCTCTGGGGCTTGACTATGGAGGCCCTGGCATGCCAAGAAGAGAAGTTTGGGGTTTTTTTCCTGAAGAGCAGTAGTTTTCAAACTTTGTAATATCACTCCTGAAAGTAGGAGAACCCTTCCAAGTGGAAGCATACAAAGTGTCTTGGGTACTCCCTCTTGATTTGCTACTTGTCTCCATGAAGCCCTTAGCCTGCTAACCCTCTCTGCTTCTTGAACAAAGAGCCTAGAACCACTGCTAAATTCTGGGGTCTGACACGGCTCTTAAATATTTATATATGATAAAAATAAAACTCAAATACAGAGTATCATTGCTGTATTCAAGGTGAGAATCCCTGAATACTGCTGAGCTGAGGAATGGCATGAACAATCCAATGTTCATAATTAGTTGTTCTGTGAGGAGGATGGAGGTATAAAACCCAGTTGCAGTGGTCCTGACATTTGGGAGCTAAATCTTAAATTAGAAGCAGTTGGATATATTAGAAAGTACCAAAGACTTGCTTTCTAGTCGTATCTATTTATTTCTGGGTAAAATTACAGTGCTGAGATAACCTAATGGTTCTTTGTAAGCTTCAGGGAACGATCAATGAGTGAGGAAAAAAAAAAAAAGAGTGCTATTAACACAAGGGTATTTTCTAACAAACAAGGCTATTTAATATAGAACAGGCTACCTTAGAAGGTAGTGAATTTTCACTAACTGGAAGCATTCAAGAAGAGAATGCATTTATGAGTTTGTGATGTCTTAGAAGGGATTCCTATATTAAACTGAAAGTTGTACTGGAATACCACTTAGTTTCACGAAGTTAGGCCCATAGCACAGGATGTATCAGGATCAAATAACTTTTTCAACAAGAAAAAAATTTTTAAAAACCTATGCATACTTAAAAACAGAGAGCAAAGAGGCGGTGAAGAGAGGAATGTTGGAGCTACTAGAAATCATTTAGTAGTTACATTACCTTTGCAATCTTTCCCATTTCATAAATGTCTGCTTTTTGATCTTCAATGTCCATGAAAGCATTTTCAATTTTGCTTAGAATCTGTTCATGGTTACTGCAGGTATCTGGGAGTCCTTCAGGAAAGTAAAACCGTGGAATGTTTATGGACAATGGTGCATTCACAACACTATTCACATGAGGAACAGGGGAGAGAGGTCCAGAACTATTTGGAAAGGTGGCTGGAGATGGAAGTGGCGTTCCAGGTTTCTTTTCTGGTTTATTTTGAACCTGGAAGAAAAATGTGATTATAAAACACAAAAATTCTAAAGAGTTTTTGAGAATCCTCACCAGTAAAAGGAAGCCATGTACAAATACGAGAAACTACAATTAGAGACAGTAGAGATCAAGAGCCCACTTTACTCTAGAGGGTGGTAAGAATGTTTCTAGGGAATGCTTTCTACATTAAACAAATCAATACACAAATTATCTGTTATTACTTGAGTTTACACAGATTTGCTTTAAAAATTGTGCAGTACATTTTCCCATCCATCATTTATTAGGCATTTTAAAATAATCAAAAAGCAATGTCAGTTGACACATTAAAGATCTAGAGATGTATTCTTAGTCTGTTGGAACTAGACTTGCATCCTCTTTTTGAAAACTGTCCTTGTTCTTTCTGTGAATTTTGCCTCTCCTCCAACTGGCAGAAATAAGTTTTTCTTTTTTGAGACAGGGTCTTGCTATATAGTCCAGGATAGCCTTGAATTTGTGATCCTTCTTCCTCAGCCTCCTGAGTGCCAGGATTACAGATGTACACCATCTCTAATATTTTCTAGACTTGTCTTTTTTTTTTTTTTCCTTTCTGGCAGTCCTGGGGTTTGAACTCAGGGCGTTGTGCTTGCTTGGCAAATGCTCCACCACTTGAGTCATGCCCCTATAGCCCTTTTGTTTTAGGTATTTTTCACATAGGATGCTGCCATTTATGCCCAGGTCAGTCTGGATTGTGATCCTTCTATTTATGCTTCCTGTGCAGCTGGGAAGACAGCCAGCTTTTGTTGGTTAAGATAGGGGTCTCTTGAACTTTTTACACAGGCTAGCCTTGAACTGCAATCCTCCCAATCTCAGCCTCCTGTGTAGTTGTGATTACAGTTTGAGCCACTATACTTTGCTTCTTTTTGTTTTTTGAGATAGGGTCTCAAAATGTAGTCTAGGCTAGCCTCCAACTCAAGAGCCTTCTGTCTCAACCTCCCAAGTGTTGGGATTATAGGCATGTAGCATGATGCCTGCTCTTTAAAATATATATGTGCATATGGGGGAGGGAACTAGTTTTAATTTATTCTTTAGTTTTACTTTGCCAAGATAGACTCACCACCAGCCCCTGGATATTGAGAAAATCTTTGTTATGAATATTAAAGCATATTTCTGGATGATTTATTTGCCACTCTTGGATGTCATTTCCCCCAAAATACACGTTTATTATTTTTGGTCTACTCTAATAGGCAAGGACCCCATTAGTCACTCATTTCATTACAACCAAACTCCCTTTACAGGAATTTGTATCCTTTTGTTTTCCAAAAAGGATTTGATGTGGTATACCATAAAGAGATATTGGAAGAAACAGTGAAAAGGGAAGTGGGGAGGCTGTGGGGAGACAGACTGCTCATGGTTGAGGAGAAGGGAAGGGAAGTACACTATCAGTCATGGAAGAGGGATTTTTTTTTGTTTTGTTTTGTTTTTTTTAACCAATGAAGACTAAATTGAGTTCTGAGATTCCATGAAGATTTTCACAGTTCTAATTTCTACTCTTAATTAATGGCCAAATGATCTACCAAGTCTCATAAGCATGACACAGTATTAGATGCTACATAAAGTAGGAAAGACAGACATGGTTACTGACTAGCTAAGCTTGGTTTTTGCTTTTTGGTTGTTATTGCGGTGCTGGGGATTGAACCTACGGCCTCATACATGATAGGCAGGAGCTCCACCACTAAGCTACATGCTAAGTTTATTTTAAATTCACTCTGAACACAAAGTATCACTCAGATGTTTTTCCTTAAACTACCTGAATGTCATCCCTAAAGTTTGGACAATGATCCCATATAAAACAATAGTCAAGGAAGAAACACCACAGAGGGAAATGAAACTAATGAAACATGGAAAACAGTGATAGCTTACTAGTTTGTGACCTGAGAACAGTTACTTACCCTTTTAAAATTTAAGTAACACAGCAGAAATTAGAAGCTTTATTCCTTGCAAGACTGTTGTAAGGATGCAAGGAAATTATAGAATGTAATGTATACTAAAGGTTCAGAATAGCACTGGGCACAGATCTGTCTTCATCAAAGAAAGTGAATGAGCAAGCCAAAAGGTAGGGTTCTCAAAAGATTAAATTATGCTCATGTTGGCACAGTCCTCTTGATTCAATAATAAATAATCATTTATACTTATAAAGCAATTTAAAGTTTATGAATCTTCTGATTTAACAAACTGATAATTTATTCTAAGGAAACATTTCTGTCTTAATGCTAAATGTTATTACATGGCCTCATGAGTCAGTAACAGTAAAAGTTTTTTTTTTTTTTTTGGTGGCACTGGGACTTGAAATCAGGGCCTCACACTTGCTAAGCAGAGACGCAGAGACTCTACCATTTGAACCATGTCCCTAGCCCTTTATGTTTTACTTATTTTTTCAAATAATGTCTCATGTTTTTCTGGATTGTGATCTTCCTATTTATATCTCCCATGTAGCTGGAATGACAGATACATGCCACCATGCCCAACCTACTGGTTTGAAATGGTGGTCTTACCAACTTTTTGCCTGGGCTAGCCTCGAACTTTGATCCTTCAGATCGCTACCTCCTGAATAGCTAGGATTATAGAGATGATCCACCAAGCTCAGCCTCTTTTTTGTTGTTGTTGTTTCTTTTTTTTTTGAGACAGAGTCTTGCAGTGAAGCCAAGGCTGGCCTCAAAACTCTCAACCTCCTGCCTCAGCTTCCTGAGTGCTAAGTTTAAGACATATACCACCATGATCAACTTGAAAGTACTCTTAAAATTCTAAAATAAGGTACAGAGTTTTCTTCAAAGGCTTTACTTAGGACACTTGTTTTAGGGCATTTCCATTCCATTATTTTGTGCAGATAAAGGTTTGCAGATAAGGGTACAATCATCAAATTCTCTGTTGCCCTCAAATGTTTTCCATGGTATAATATTCAGGTCAGTTAGTGATAATTCCAGAGCAGTTATAGCCATAGAACTGGTATCACTGGTGCCACTGGGGACGAACACAAACCAGTGGGGAGGGTTCAAAGCAACACCTTCAGTGTTAACTCTGCTTTTGCTGGACAGAAGTAACATTCAGAACACACACTGGCTAGCTGCCAAAGCTTTTATGTAAATGGGAAGACATCTGATCATATACTGTTCTTCCTTGCTTTTTTGTGTATATGCTTAACATATATAATTGACTGATTAGCAAGTATTTATTAATTCAGTGGTGAATTCCATATTTAATGAAATAGGGTAATATTCAAAAGGAAAATAACATTAAAAGAATGTATTTATTTTGAACTTTCAGCTATATCAATTTACTTTCCATTGAGTTCAACAGGAAACACATAAGTTAAACATTTAACATACTAAAACTGACCCTTTACAAACATTATAGAATAAACTCTAGTAATAAAAATTTTGCCGGACTTACTGGCAAGCTTTGATATCCACTCACTTTGACTAAAGCTGTTTCAGTCCAATACAGGCACAACATTTTTAAAGGCTAAACCAGGTAAAGTTTCTCAATTCTCCATTTGTCTTTCTCTACAGACACAGTATCATTTAGATGGTCATTCTGAATGGTACTGTTATGTCTTACATGATTATGTCACCATAGCATTTTTAATATATGATCATTTTGACCTACAAAAGAAAAGAAAAAAAGGGATTCCACAGGGTTCACCCAAATAATTTGAAATAATTATGGGCTAGAATAATTATGAAGCTATGGCTTCTTGTTAAAATTTGGATGACCAGCATTTGCATAGCTCTTGATTTGTGTTGTACTCAATGTTAGGCAACTTGTATGGTAAGAAAGATACTGGCCCTAAGGTTGTAAGAAAGAAAGCAGGGGCTCTGCAAAATGGTCATCACAGGCAGAAATTATTCCATCTCAGTTTGCAGATGGAGGACATTCTTTTCACAATTTAGAAGAAACTGCCATTCTTCATCATCTACATACACACAGCATATTCTACACACACACACACACAAAACTGTCTAGATACAAAATATCACCAGGATTAATATTCTTTTAAAACAAACATTTGTTAAAGATATAAGTATGTTAGTATAGTCTACTGATAGAAAGTACAAATAAGGCTTTTAACACAAGAATTCTAGTTTCTCCAGTATTTTCCTGGCTAAATTATAAAATATTTATTAGGTTGTATTTATTGTCTCCAAAACTGGATTCCCTCTCTACAAGAGAAAAATGTGAGTACTGTACTCCAGGTCCAGAAGGTCTATTTTTAAACCTGCTGGAATCCCTCTCCAAATAGCTTTCTGCAAATAGCTGAACAGAGGGCACAGATTTTTTTTCCTTGATCTAATATCAAGATATAAGTTATAAAGTTTTTTGTGAGTTAGTTGAGTGGGTGGATTTATTAGTAATAAAAATATTTTAAAAGAAACACCCAAGTTTCAAACCTGTGTCTGCTGAAATGACTTCAGCCGCTTCTTAAACCGTGACGGGAGAACAAAATCACATCCCCTTGCCAGAAAAGCTAACTCTCCCCTTAAATCCGGGTCCCTTCGTAAAGATGTTTCCTTGATCATCATCTTTGAAATGTGAACGTTTACTTCGCAATTGTCCAGCACACTTCTGAAGATGTCAGATTTAATAAACTGTCAATCTTGTCAGGGAGAAAGGTACTTTTTTCTTCTTATTGCTCAAAGAAATTAAATTCAAGCATTGTGTTTTCCCATCCTCCAGGGACCACAATCCATGCTTGTCCTGACATGCAGCTGGTTCCCAAATACAGTCTTTGGCTCCCAATACCTGCTCATAATTTTCAAATTAGAAACACAGCCTTCAAAGGGCCTGTTGCTTCTTGTAGGAAGCTTTATGTGAAATTGACCTGTACATGTTGAGAATACAGAGCCTTCTGGGAAAGGAAGCACCCACTACTACTACCAAAGTTAGAAACATTACAGACGGTCCTAAAAATAGCAACTTCTCAGATAATGCTAACTTCTTAAATTCAGTCTGGGACGTGTTACTACACAGAAGGCAGT